CAGCTTTGCAAGAGAGCTCCCTTCGGGCTGCCGATCCCCCCAAGGAGGCTCCGTGGAAAGCCCCGGGGTTCCGAGTGCGCAGGGTGGTGAGGCCCGAAAAGGTTCCGCCGGTGCGCGTGAGTTTGCCTGGAGGTCCCTCGGGCTGCGATACCGTGTGCTTGCTTTCAGCCGGCGGTGCCCTTGCGACGCAGGAGGTTTAGCCCGCTGCTTAGTTCTGACTAAACATCCCCGAGATGGTGCGCAGGCGATGAGCCGCATCTTCACTGGAATCCTTGGCGGTGGTCCTCGTCTGTCAATGGGCTTGGAGTGTGCCCAGGCCCTTAGACAGAAGGAGGAGGTGGTCCAAATGGGCTCCTGGGCTGAAGGGATGCTGAGGAATCCCCAGCAACTCTCCTTTGAACCGGAGGTCCTCACCTCAAGGATGGTCAGGTTCAGCTTTTGACTCCCACTTAAAAGATGGTCAGTTGAGATATGGGCTGTATAATAGGTTAAAATGACCTTCACAATTTAGAAGTAACAGGGGAGGGTGGGATTTTGTCCCCTTATGGATTGCTAGAATTTTTAAAAAGCGAGTCCAAGAGAGAAAAAGTTCTGCCACATACGGCATGGATTTTCTTAGGTCCCAATAACTCTTTCACGCAGGGATGATAATTTATAATATGGTGACTTGCATACGGGATCAAACATCAGATTTTTCCCTCCTCTGAAACATGTTCCCTTAATGGGAGAGGCTTTTCTCTTGTGAAATATCTCCTTGTTCTTCTGTGCCAGCCTTTAAACCAGTCTTGGGAGGTTCCACAGGACTGTTAAAAGTTTGGACACCATTTGTCTGGAATGACCTGTTAGGAGTTGAAGTCCCTTCCAGCCAGCTCATTCTCTGAAATGCAATACCCATGTCAGCTCAGGATAATGGTTTGCAAGCCTGTTGGGCTCCTTGCAAAACATTGCAAGGGTTTGTGAAGGCTTTGTGGGTGTGTTTGTCCAGTGCAACAGCCAGCTAAAGATCCCATTCTGACGTCTTTGCCCTGTCGCTGCTTTATGATGTGATAATCAGAGTTATCAGAGCAGAAATCTGGTTCAGAGGAAAACCGATTTGGGGGTTAGTCATTCTGATATAAGAATTGCTGCAAAGCTTCAGATTGTATCCCATGCAGGTCAGGAAGCTGGCTTGGGCTTTGTGATAAGCTGGACTTCTCCAAAGTCTCTCTGAGCAAGAGGGAGCTAGCAAACTTGCTGGCTGGGGAATTCTGGGAGTTGAAGTCCACACACCTTCAAGCTGCCAAGGTTGAGAAACACTGGGCTAACCATTTCAGTCAATACACATGTGCTTTAAGATAGTTTACATATGCAGCAGCTGATGTGTCAAAGCTCTTAAAATTGCAAGGGGAGTTTCCTCTATAAAGCCATTCCTGCTAAAACTAAACAAGGTATCAGAGGGAAGGTTTTTAACAGAACCTTTCTCCTTATATGCTAGCTTTCTCTCGAGCTGGAAAACCAACCTAACTTCTCTTTCATAGTGTAAGTACAATCTAGAAGCAGTTTGTTAAATGTTTGCAGACCTTGACAATAATGGGAACCATCCGGATTGTAGTGGGTATGACTTTCTGGAGGTATCTTTCCCTGTTATTAGCTTTGTGCTCAGATATGGTTTATTTAGCATTGGTTATTCAATGAATCAGAATTGGCTAGATTCATACGACATGGGAAGCAATGAATGAGTTCATATGGCACCATCTGGGGTTCACATATCATCCTAACCCAAAATTAAACAAAGGACATTATGTCTTAGTATAAAGTGAAAAGCTGACCTCCATTTAGCACAATTGACAGCAAATGCTAAATCTAGATCAGTGTTTTTCAAATGTGGCAACTTTAAAATGTGTGGACCTGGCTGAGGAATTCTGGGAGTTGAAGTCCGCTCATCTTAAAGTTGCCAGGTTTGAAAAACATTGATCTAGATGGAAACTCAACGTGATGGATGATTGACCTTGATTCCTCTCACAAACCATTGCAGAGAGGTTTAAATAAACAGATTGCTACAGACGTTAGAACTAAACATGTTCATTTTGTTTATAGGTTGACCGTTACCAGGGCTGGTATTTATACATTATATTTCTTGCTATCTTGTGATTTGTTTTCATGGCACAGAGATGAAGTGCATTTTTCTTAAAAATGCGCATAGTTGTCCCCAGAGAAATATTGGGCTGCTGAAAATAACATTCTCATTCTACAGAGTGCAGAATTTTTCTAATGCGATTGAGGGAATGTCAGCCAGGTCAGGAAATACTCAACTAGGACTTCAAGTACTCTGTTGTTACAGGATACAATGACAGTATCTTAAAAGCTTGACAAAGATATACTTTGTAGTTAGCATGGTTTATTGCAACCATTGAAGTGTCTCTTAAAAAATTCAGTGCATTGTTGCTTGGAAATAGTCCTGATTGTGGGACATGGTGGATTACTCTCAAGGAAATATTCATAGGACTGGATTGCACATATATTTTAACTGCAGGTTTGTTCCCTGATTCTTTCATTTGATATTTTGCCTTCAATGAGGCAAAGCTGCATTGAATTTACAATTTTGCAATAAAAGATAATTATTTTGACTAATGACCTCAACATTCTTTTACTGAGAGAAAGAATTTGATGCAATAGCATAAGGCTGATACATTTTTGAAATACG